GCCTCTATCTTTATATACTTCGATATTATGAAGGATTTCGTTTAGGCACATTGATGCAGATCGGCCTTTACGATAGGCAAAGCATCTATTTGGAAGGACTGCATTTTCGGTCAACCATGGATCTATCCTAGCCTTAATCATCAAATTTATAATTTTTAGTAATACCGAAATTAAGGAGATTGGCCTATAGTTGTGGTAATCACTCAGATCTTTATCAGCCTTTGGAATGGGTATGATTTTTATTGTACGCCATTGGTCATCGATTTCTCCTGTCTGGAAAGAGTTATTTAGGGCTATAAGGAGATTTACCTTGGCATTTTCAGAAAGTGATCGAATCATCTCATAAGTGATTCTGTCAAACCCCCCTGCAGATTTTTTAGTTTTGTTTTTGAGAACTGCGTTTAGCTCAGATAAATCAAAGGCCTGCACCGTATCATTTTCTGAGGTTACAATGAGTGTATCGTTATGACTATTGCTTATAGAAACTTGATTTTTTAAGTGCTGTAAGAAATCATGGTGTGAGCCTTCCAAGGCTGAACTGTCAACTTTTTGGTAATTTCCTTTCATATTTTTCACAAATCTCCATGCTTCTTTGGTGTTTGGTTGATTGTTTAATAAGTTAATGCTGCTTTGAAAGTTTTCATTTTTTGCCTTTGAAACTTCTTCTTTCCAGATTTTTTCATATTCTGAGGCTTTTTTAAAGTTTTCAGGCGTAGGGTATTTGTTGCATTTTCTTATTGATGCAATGCGAAGTCTGAAATGTTTTTTTAAGCCATCATGCCACCAGGTTTTTGGGGTTTTGTTGGTGAGAGTAACTGTAGCCTTTGAGATTTCTTCGGAAAAAGTTTGGCTGATGTCTCTTGTAGAGGTCTCTAATGAGATGGAATTGAGGGATGTTAGAAGTTTTTTCCTAGATAGGAAGGTGATACTCTTGGGTGCCGTGAAGTCCATAGTTAAAGAGATGGGATAGTGATGGCTACCCCCCAGGTGGTAATCTAAAACGTCCCAATTGCATGAAGCTGTGAAATTTGTAAAAGTTAGATCCAAAACCGATCCCCTTTTCTTGTCTTTTAGGCTAGGTATGAAAGTAAGATTCCCATTGTTTAAGCAATTGAAAATTGAATCATTGGAAAAAGACTCAAGCCACTTTCCTTTAGGATTATCAATACTATCTCCCCATTTCCTTGAACGAGCATTAAAGTCGCCCATTATAAGGACATTGTCATAGGTTTCAAGAGTGTTGAATAAATTAGTGATTAAGGCCTTAAAGGTGGCTAAATCCATGGATGGCTCGCAGTAAATAGAGCAAATAGTGAGGTTCCTGGTTAAGTTTTTTGTTTGAATTATGCAGATATCATGGTTAGATTGAAAAATAATTTTTTTGAAGCGAATGGATTTTCGAAGGGCAATAGCGACCCCTCCATATCCATCACTTCTTTTCTTTTCTATAATGTTAAAATTTGTAATGTTTTTGTTTTTGATTGTGTCCTCATGTGAAAAAACTTCACTGAGGCACGCTATGTCATATTCTTTTGAATTTAACAAGTAGTCAATGTTATTTTTGTTTTTAGACAAAGACTGGATATTATATTGCAAGACCCTCATCATGGTTAGATATCTCCATATCCCCCAAATCAGCTTCGGAGTCTATACTTTCTAGTATTGAAAATTTTTGTTTTAATCTGTCAGCAAAATGCACAAAGGCATTTACTCCTGCAGGGAAGTCTACCTGACGGAAGGCATCCCTAGCAAATTTAGTCATTTCTGTGGTTATTTTTTCAATTTCCGACACTAGATGCAAGTTAGGCTGATTAAAGGCCACACCGTTGTTTTGTGTCCTTCTCGGACGAGGTACTCTAGATTGTGAGGTTTTTCCCACGAAATTTAACTTCGGAGCCTGGCGTCTTACAGTTTTAGCATAGGAAATTGGTGTTAAAATTTTGTTAACCTCAGTTTGATTGTTTCTGTAGATGTTTTTCTGTGTATTCAGCACAGGAAAATGTTCTTCACTAAGAAGTTCAAATCTATTTTGAGTTTCCAATTTTAGTTCATTTAATGCTTCTCTTCTAGTTTGCTTTTTTAAAGTCATCAATTTATTAATGTGGTTTTCTTTTTCCCAAGCTGGGCAAATCTTCCTGTCCAAAGCAATGTGAGAAGTATCATCACATAGAAGGCATTTAGTTTCACATGACATTACGCACACCGGTTTTTTACCGCATTTCAAACATCTTCTGCCAGTTCTGCATGCCTTCTGTGTGTGACCCAACCTGCCACAACTGAAGCATTGCCTTATCATCGGATAAAAGTAGTGTACCTCAAGAATTGAATAATCTAAAATTACTTCCGTTGGGATCTTATCTCCAAAGAAGCCAATTTTGACCGACCAGGTCGAAACCCTGGCATCACTATCTCTACTTTCCCTCTTTGTAAATCTTTGCACTGAAGTTATTGGGATATCTGAAATTAACCTCTCTTTAATTTCTTCTTCTGTATAGTCTGGTGGAATGCCCTTTATGACACCGTAAGACTCTACATAGCTTTTTGGAATAAAGGCTCGGATATTATTTTCTTTTAAATCTTGGTTTAGTATGCATCTATTTGCATAAATTGCATTTTCAAAAGTTATTCTAAAGAGTGTTAAGCCGACTGCTTTAATAGTGGAAATGCCCTCAATGTTAAATTTTTCTATTTTGCGCCATAAATAGAGGCCATTTTTTACATTTTTGTTTTGCACATTTTCACATTTAGAGGTATCGCAGAGCTCGCTTGCCTTACCCTTATGGACTGCTGGGTAAAACACCGTTTCTCTTGCCTGTTCTTTGTTCGCATTTGCATTTTTAACAAAAACTCCTGACTTAACTGTTGTTTCGGTAACTGTATTACCTGCAGGGGCATTGGCACTAGTGGATGGAAGAATAGCGGTTTCTTCATTACTGAAATTTTCCGCAAATATTTCATTTAATGATTTATCCGTAACATTTTCTGAATCCGAGTCCTTTTTTCTTTTTCTATTAGAGCCCGGTGGCACCTGTTTAGGCACTGCACCAGGACTTTCGTTATTTGACGCCATGGCGTCACTTGACAAACTATACCCACGTTTCACTTCACTTATATATATGTATAAAAGTATTTAAGTCAAGAAAATATAATTAAGTACAATGCAGCTCACCTGGGGTTAAATCCCGCTTACCACACTGCTTATCTCAAATTATTGATGATTGCGCACTTTTGTTTGCTGAAAAAATATTTTTTTCAGAGTTTAATAAGAGAGTTTTAATAGCACAGAAAAAGCCGACCGCACACTTTGCTCGCTCAACCGGAAGTGTGATACGTTTGCACTTGTTTCTAAACAAAAAGTTTGTTTACGTATTGCCATAAATGTCAAAGTCGGCAAAACCAAAGTAGCGGATTCGGGAATGCGCCACCTTCAGTTCATTTCACCATGGCTTACCACTACACCACAGCGGCCGACTATGACACATAATACCTTTACAATATAAATGCACTAAACTCAAATGTCTGTAGATGTGGCCAATTCGACAGCTACATTCACCAAATTTTTGAATGCCCTCTTCTTGATGAGCCTCGAGGTGAGTGTGAAATATTTCAAGAATGTTATAACCTCAGTCAGTTGTTCCACGGTTTTAACATGTTATTTTATAGTTATTATTACTGAAGTGGTTTATCTGTGGTGAAAATGCCGTCCACCACACTCCTTTTTTTACTTATTATTCACACACATGATACAAAAACAAGTATCAATACAATATAGACCCTCTAGTTATGAGGAGGTTATGCTATTTTGCGGCTACTATATGCGGTCACAATCAGGCATACAGATAACGAAGGAAGACGTATAACCTGAAGAGGAATTCACGAATTTTTGCTGCAACCACATCAAGGCGCTGTCATACTAATGCGCCTCGCCACATGCTGTCACCAATCGACGAAACAAATAAAGAAAAAATACGAATAACCTGGTGTCTGCGAACTGACAGTTCCTACCAACTTAACCAAATCCAAAAAAAAAAAAGTAAACAAATTTATAATCGTGTTCCTCATCGTTAAATAATGAAATTAATAAAATATGAAATAGTAAACGTTTAATGAGCTTAATTTAGTTGGAATGTGTGTTTTCTGCACACTTGTATTTGTTTGAAATGGTTTGTTATCGAACATTTTGTTAGGTGAAATTTTCAACTTTAACAACAAATTATTCGTAAACTATGAGTTTCCTCGCGTGCGGTTTTCAATTTTGTGATGTGTACGACCCCCTCTACCCTCCCAAAAAAGTCATTTTGTTCAAAGCGTGGTGCACTCTGGCGAAGTTTCCCCGAATACCTTTAGGGGCCATTTACATAAGACTTTCCTCGCTTTGCTTGACAGTTCAAACTTTGCCAACAAAGCATGAAACGCAGAAGGTATACTACAATAAACGCTTTGACAGCTTTTGCTTCCTTTTCCTCCATATTTTTTATCTGTAAAATAGATAACAATATAATAATATGCATTAATAGTAGCAATATTAATTTCTATTACTATTATTTACCCTATTTTTTTCATTAAATGCAAATGTAAGCGCACGGGAAAAGATACATGTAGACGGCTGATTGCCAAAGCGGGCAAAAGTTGAGAGTTGCTGAAGTTTTGCTTCGTTTTGCTTCAAACGTTTTTTATGTGAGCATACTCATGCATATGCCTACATCGATCTTATATGTCAAAGCAAAGAACCATCAAGCAAAGCGAAGAAACTTGTATGTGAATCAGCCTTTAGAATTTCGGGAAAAATTGTGCTTTCAAACAAAAGTCCATCTCACTTGCTAGAGATAAAAATAGAACGCGAGCGTGATTTGTAAGCAGGTGAAGATGGCTGGTAAAGGTTATCGGCGGAAAAGTATCGACGAAACTTTTGAAAACATTCATCTCTATTTATTATTTATTGTCGCTTTTCGTTTATACTGCAGTTTTCGTTTAATTTCACAAATATAATGAAACTTCTATTTCTAGCATGGTATGTGGGTAAACGTTGGCATTGAAATAAATTTACATAATAACCAAATACAGCCAGCCATCAGAAGCGCCAATACACTAGCCTAACCAACAGGCATTCTGAGGAAGTGGTTCTTCATACCATCCTACGTTTCAGCGAGGACATTTTATTGGGATTTATACCTGGTAGTTAAACGACGCCATATATTGCAGTTTTTGTTGTTGTAACAGAGTGATGCTGAAGTGACAGTCCTTGACCAGATATAAATCTGGGTCGTTTCGTTTACGTAGACCTGACGTCGTGGCCACATATTGCTGTTATTGTTGCGGATTCGGCCTGGTTCTTTCTAATTGAAAAAGTTGACCAGGAGTATTCTGTCCGGCGAAACCTCTTTTGATTTTGCAGCAAGATGTCTGAACGAAAAGTGTTAAATGCAAGTTTTCTATTTAATTACCATAATATGACACCAATAAATCTAATATATATATATACAGAAATATTACCCACCGGACTTCGATCCATCGAAGATTCCTCGCATGAAGCTTGCCAAAAATCGGCAATATACAGTTCGCTTAATGGCACCGTTTAATATGAGGTGCAAGACTTGCGGGGAATATATTTACAAAGGAAAGAAATTCAATGCCCGAAAGGAAGACGTAGAAAATGAAACTTATCTAGGAATACGTATCTACCGTTTTTACATCAAATGCACACGTTGTCTGCAGGAAATTTCATTTAAAACTGATCCACAGAACACTGACTATGAAATTGAGGCGGGCGCAACAAGAAATTTTATGGCGTTAAAATTGGCAGAGGAACAAGCACGCAAAGAGATAGGTAAATAAATAGAAACTTTATTGATTCCAATTTTTTTAATTTAATTCCAAACATATAAAGAGGAAGAACGCGAAGAAGAAGCAAACAATCCAATGAAGTTACTGGAAAACCGTACACAACAATCGCGTAACGAAATCGAAATGCTTGAGTCGTTGGAAGAGCTGCGCGATTTGAATCGCCGCCAACACAATGTCGATTATGAGTCAATGTTACAACAGTACAACAGCGCGGAATCTGAGCAGGAGCGATTAAAGCGCGAAGAAAAGGAAGATGAGGAGTTTGTAAAGTAAGTTAACGCAGAAGTTTGTAAAATTTGTATATCAATGTACATGTTCTTACTTCTACTCTAGATCTATAAACTTCAAAGCGAACAAAACAGCAGGAAAAATTGTTGCTGAAGAAATAATAGAAGAAATTAATGATGAAGCATCTTTATCTTCTGAAGCAAAGAAAGCAAAACTTAATACGGCTATTTTAGCGCCTCAAGCGCATAGCTCCAAAACTAAAGCTGTCACAATAAAAACTTCAACACTCGTAAAACGGAAAACTCCACTCGTTGTACCGAAATTGAATCCACCCACAGCAACAGTTTCTTCAGCGGGCTTGGGCGCGTCTACAAGTAAAACAGAAAGCCTAAAACCGACGGAAAATAAAAACGGAGGCCTTTCATTGCTTTCAAGTTATGCCAGCACCTCCGAAGAATCAGAGTGAGAGATATACAGCCTTAAAATAGGGAATATTGCGTTATACAAGTATTTACGTAACTAAACGTGATATGTGAAAGTGGATCACAGGATTCTGGTGTAAATAATGTAAAGAATGGTAATTCCAAATATAATATGAAAGCGTTTTGAAATAATCTGAGAATAATTGCTTAACCACTGGGATTCCGTCTTCGTGCTCTACGGGGCGTATCGATCTTATGTATGAAATGGACAAGTACCATAATCACAAAAAAACATCATCATATATCAAAGTATTTAACAATTTAACTAAAAGCGAATTATGTGCACTTTTAGAAAAAAAAACTGTTTTATTGTGGTATTAACAAATTTTCGTCAACAATTCGAAGGCACCTGTGCCATTTCGTACTGGTAGTCCAACCATTAACCGACTTGATGGTGAACTAAGCTCATCTACCCGACCACTTCCGGACGCATTTTTCAGAAATTGTAAGCAAGATTCAAAGGACATTTGTTGCAAAGGTGAAGATGAATGTTCCATGCCCTTTCGGGAAAGTGGTTGGAAAGTACCATCAAAAGTCATATAATCGGCAATTAAGGAGAGATGACGTCTATCAACAGTAATTCCGTACACTTTGAAAACATTTGTTACTTCCTTAATTATAACTTGCGCCGCTGCCTCGATGCCATAAGTCTTTGCTATGGCATGTATATCATTGGTATAAAGGCGGTTCAAGTCTAAAATTTCTTTGTGTTTGAACATTTCGACAATATTAATCCCGTCTGTTTTGAGTAGGTGGGCATTTTTGTCACCTTTATAAATAATAGCGCGTTTTATATTCTGTACTTGGTGCACAACACATTTGCCTGCTAATTCACGTATGGTGGATGAAATATCTGGCTTCTTGTATATCATGGATAGCTAAAATTAGTCGTACAAAATTATTTATTTGATAGATTGGAAAAGTGCTTTTACTTACATTAAAGGTTAGCTTGCACCATTGATGTCTTTCCTTATCGTAGGAATATTCTCGCACCATTGCATTGCTCAATACACTCTCGACCATAGCGTCATCTGTGTCAGCCGTGACCGCAACCTCTTCGACGTCGTCTTCAGCCCCTGCCAACTCATCATCATCGTTAGCATCTTTGATTTCTTCCACATCTTCAGGATCATCATATTCATTTTCATCTTCTTTGCGCGATTTGAATTTTCTGCCAGTGGCGTCATCATCGTCATTCTTATAAAAGAAGTAAAGATTTTAGTTAAGACTGAATTTATATTCAATTATTAATCAAATTACATTTTCGTCGTCAGAGGAATCTACATCTGCCGAATTCGATGACTTTCCGTTTTTCAATTCGCCATTCAGATCATTTCCTGTTTCATCTTCGTCTAAATCCTTGTCGTCGCTCTCCTTGTTGCCGTTTCCTTTTCCATCGTTAATATCAATACTAAAATTATATATATATTCTTTTTTTATCAGCGTATATTTTAATTTAATTTATTGAAACTTACATAGAAGCTTTGTCCTTTGAAGACTTTATAACAGCGCGAAACAGCAGCTTGAAAAAAACCTCGCTCATATATTTCAGTACCTTTTTGGGACGCACGCAGAAATCGTCCTGATAGGCTTCGCGCGGCAGAAATTGGAATTTCAGCTTATATTGATATGCGCGTTCAGGCTTCAGAACTAGCTTAATTTTCACATTAACATCTTTATTATGAAAAAAAAAACTATAAGTCAAAACGTTTCAAATACAGAACTGATTTAATTTACACTGCAATATGTCCGCAAGCGTTACCCGATTCAGCTTGATGCGTAACTTATCGGCATTCTTCGCAAGACTCATCTTTATTGGAATATCCATTGATGGCGTTTTGATATTTGCTGATGCCAACATTAAAATTTCACGCAAGCGTGGTATACCCAGCGTGACGTTCATCTCACCACGACCAGCAAAATGGAAAGTATTCAGTGTCATCTGAGTAGAAGGTTCACCAATTGATTGGGCGGCCAAGAGACCAACGGGTTCGCCCGGCGAGACTAATGCCTTAAGATTTTTTAAATGCATTATATCATCAATTCCAGCTTTACTATTTGGATATTTCTTCATATAGTCCTCTACTACTTTCTCCAATCGTTCGGAAATACTGCCATAATAGCTATCCTGTCTGTATAAAGCAGTTGTGGGATCAGGACAATGTACATTTAACCTTTTGTAATGCTCTTTCGTTTCTGTATCAGCTTTTCTCCACAGGTTCTGTTTATATTCATCTCTAAAACTACGGCCCGTTTTACCATTTACCTCATTTAAGTTGCCTTTCGCTTGCACATCTTTTGAAAAGGCGGAGAATGCCGAGAGTCTTCTCTTCGGTTCTTCTAAACCATGCCTATCATTATGCTGTCTTTGCCATTTTCGTATCTTCTTCACATGTCTGGAGATTTTCATAAGCGTGTGCTCATCTTTGAAACTTGTCAACTCGTTTGTATGTATTATTGCTGAGTAATTAAGAGCCAAGAATTGCATACAGAAATTTGTATTGAAAAATTTCGACTTCAGTATATCTAGCCCATCTTCGCCATACAAATACTGTACGACACTGTTATCACTATCTCGCACTGTCATATCGTAACCAACTGTGAGACCTTCAAGATGCTTTATAAGACATCGTTGCAAGTAGCCTGAACGTGAAGTTTTCACAGCAGTGTCGATAAGACCTTCGCGCCCGGCCATGCAATGAAAGAAGAAGTCTTGCGGCTGGATGCCGGTCATAAAACGGCCATCAATGAAGCCACCCGATTTTGGTGATGTTTCGAAGGATGTGAAACTTGGTAGTGATTTTCCAGAAATCATTAGAGGTGGGCGTTTGCCTTCCAATTCAATTTGCCCCAGTAAGCATGAAATTTGCATAGTATTCACCATGGAACCCTTCGCGCCAGATAACACCATTAATTGCAAATTATTTTGTGGGAATTTCGATATCAAACCATTGGGCAAGCAGGTACGATTTATATCGTTAGTAAAACCATCTAACAATGACTTGTACTTACGATCTAAGATTACTCGAAATTTGGGATCTTTTGCATATGCCTCCTCCATTTTTTGAATAAGCATATCAAGCGAGGGTATTTCATCCAAATCTAATGCAGCAGCAACGGCTGAATCGCCAATCTACAATTAAACTTCAAGAAATTTAAATTGAAAAATAAAGATTACCGTCACTCACTTCGCGGCATTCTTTGACGATATGACGTCTTTGCGTGTCTGCTTCAGCTGTAACAAGAATATCCTGTACGCCTAGCGTGAATCCTTCGCGTTGTAAAAATGATGTAAAAACTTTAGTAAAAGACGTTAGCATACGTGTGGATACTTCGCCACCATATAGCTGTAAATTTCAAATTAATTTTATAGAATTTTTAGAGGCACCACTGGTTTACCTCATACATGCAATGGATTAAACCATAAGTGGTTGCACCATACTGTTGCTTGTCTAAAACTCCAGTCAGCAGCTCTCCCTTATGAATTATAACATTACTTTCACACAAATCACTGCCACCAACAGGAGAGCAGGCAGCTTCATGCGGTTGCGACACAATCCAAGTCTAAAAAATAATTTAAATAGCGCTTCAACTCAGATGAATACTAAATTTTAATCACCTTTGAATTAATTTTAGCTTGCGTATGCAAGTTTATACGCGCATATCCCTCTGGTATCAAATTTATGATAATAGTTGAAAGAATCTACAGAAATGAGAAAATAATAATTAGTAAATAAATGCGTTCGTGCATTCGTGCTTCATAATAGGCTTGCCTGTTTTCCAGACCACAACACGGTCGGTTTTAAAATGGTTGGAGGCAATAATTTTATATTTTCACGTAAATGCGAAAGGCCCTGGTATACCAGCTGTTGATAGTCTTCGCGATTAAAAAAACGTCCCCGTATAGATAATTTTACGCCCGAAATAACATGATCCTGAATTAAACCTCCTAGGGGTGTACCGTCTTTAGGCACCAAATAGTTGCTTGCCACATTTACTGCAAATAATAAAATAGTTTTTAATTTTTATGTGAAACTGGAACAGAAAAATTTTGGAGTCCGTTGTGTATCTACTAACCCAAATTATAAGCCTCCGCTCTTGCCACTTCGCTTTGTGGAAAGTGTGCATTCATTTCATCACCATCGAAATCGGCATTGTATGCCTTGCAGTTTGAGTAATGAAGTCGAAATGTCTTTTCACCAGGCAGTATGCGTGCCTTATGAGCCATTATGGATGGTCGATGGAGTGACGGTTGACGATTGAGCAGAAGTACATCTCCATTTATGACATGACGATGCACAACCTTGATACCATTTTCAGGATAATTGAAAAGTAATTTTGCCATGCTTTCACGCTTGGCAGCATTATCAGCTGGTATAAGTGTGGTATAACCTTTTTCGTCTTGTATATAGTTGGCACTGGAAATATTGTATTTTATTCGATTATACAGAGCTTAACAGCTCGTCTGCACAACTCACCCAGGGTGAATATCCGGCCCATTCATCACCATTTTACGCAACTCAGCAACGTTCCATGGTGTCACCGGCACTGGATAACTGAGTTTTCGTGCGAAAATATCTGGTATACCCACTTCCTCAACGTTAATATTTGGGTCGGGCGTTATGACAGTTCTTGCCGCATAGTTAACACGCTTGCCCATCATATGCTTACGTATGAGGCCCTCCTTCTTTTCCAAGACTTGCTTCAGACCTTGATTAGAGGGAGCATCTCTGCTGGCGGTTATATCTAACAACATGTCAACAGATGTTTGCAAAGTTTGCCAAGCATTATACAGTTTTTCATAAGACGATTTCCCTCGTGTAGTTTCGTAAACACGTTGGGCTTCTTCTGAGAGCTCATCGCGTAAACCTTTAAGATGCTTCATAACTACACGCAATACGGCATTATTTTCAATTATAGCCCTGTAAATTGCAGTTTGTGGATGTTCAACAATTTGATCATGCAATATATTTGGCGGACGCGCTTTCGGCGGTATAACTGGTACAGTATCCATGAAAAATATATCAACTGGGCAATCACTTCTACTAGCATTTTGCTTTAAAAGCGGAAACAAAAGTTTTAATAAGTCCGGGTAATTGACGTAAATTTGTCTCAAAATTTTGCGACATTCATCAGC